AGAAGGGACCAGTCGCTGGAGAAGGAGATCATGCCTGGTAAGGTGGAGGGTCAGAGAAAGATAGGAAGACCGCCAACTAGATGGACTGGCCAAGTGGCAGCATCGATGGACTAAGCGTGGCAACAGGAGTGAGGTTGGCCCAGGATCAGGCAGTGTTTCTTTCTGCTGTGCATAAGGTCACTATGAGTTGGCACCGACTTGATGGCACCTAACAACAACAACAACAATGCATAAAATTCAATGGTTTTTACTATAGTTACAGATAAGTGCAATTATCACCACAGTGAATTTTAGAACATTTTCATCGCCTCCAAAAGAAATGCAGTACTCTTTATCAATCTTTGTGCTTCCCCTCGCCCCCTCCCTGCCCTTAGCACCACTGATCTGCCTTATGTCTCTGTAGAGTTCCTTGTTCTTGGCTCTTTGTTCCACTTCCTATTTCTTTATTCCAGGGCATTGAAGTAGTTCATCTGGGTTGATTCCCTGCTGAAAATTTGCAATTCCACCCCAGATACACTGAATCAGAATCTACATTTGAATCTTGCTAACAAGATTCAAATGTAGATTCTGATTCAGTGTTAAAATGTAAATTATAATTCAGTGTATCTGGGGTGGGGAGACAAATTTTCAACAGGAAGTAGAACTGGAATGAACTGGTTCTAAGTTTTGTTTATTTATATTCTCTATTTAATGTGATATTGTCATCATACTTCCTTTACTTCTGTGAATACATTAGTAGTGACCACTTACAAGTCTTCTTCTGATGACCTCAAATCTGATTGTTCCCACAGGCAGGTTCCTTTGCCTTTCTCTTCCTGTGTTATGAATCACACTTCCATTTCCTATTTCTTTTATAGCCTCATAGTTTTTTGGTGGAAATGACATTTGAGAGAATATACAAAGGAGCTTCAAAAAATTCATGGGGAAATAGAGGTTTTCCATGCACTTTTTGAAGCCCATTCATATTGGAGCAACTCTAGGTACTGACCCTACCCTGACAACTCTGTACTTCTATTTATTTGTTTTGGATTACCTAGATTCGTTTAGGAAAGTCTATTTCACAGGTGCCTGTACACACAAACACTGTTAAGTCTCCAGCTCTGCTCCTGGGATAACAGAGGTACAGGCAGGCCTCTTTTTGTGGACCCTAACCATCCAGCTGTTAAACTCGTCATTTCCAGCTGATTGCTCTGTGTGCTCAATGACTCTGGTGGCTACATTGCTCTGTAGATGAATCCTAAGAAATGCTGGCTCCCTGGAAAGGATAGTGCTAAGGCCAGTTGGATATTTCTTTGTCCCCTGGAGGGCTTCTCCCAGTTGCTTTCATATCTTCCATGATTCTTGATAGTACCTACCTTTAGATTTAAAACCATATGCTAGTAAGACTACAAATTACACATAAAAGTCATCTTCCCCAAGACTGGCTAGATCTTTGACCTGCTTTTAAATCGGGAAGAGTGTACATCAGGAGCTAGCTTGAAATATAAATATTTCCCTTTTAGTCTTTCTGTGTGTAACTCACACTTGTTTCCTTTGCCAACTGCATAATTAAGAGTCTGCACCCTTTCCTCTTCTGGAATTGATTCTGCTTTGAGCACAGCTTCCCAGTCCTTTCATTGTATTTAAAATAGTCCAGGGTAACAACTCCCCTGGCTTTGCAAACAAAAGGCTTCCTTCCTCTCTGACAAAGCAGTACGATTGGGATATGCTTTTGTTCCCTGTGTTTTACAGTTAATTTCAATACATACAGTACTGAAATGGCCAGTCCCCACAAAGGCGCTATTGTTCAGAATAGGCATTTTCTGTATTTATGACACACAGCTCACCAGAAATGTCTCCTCTTCCCTAGTTGCTGCTGTTGTTGTGAAGTGCTGTCGAGTCGATTCTGACCCATAGCGACCCTGTATAGGGTTTCCAAGAAGCAGCTGGTGAACCTGAACCACCGACCTTGCAGTTCAAATGGCTTTGCAAACTGATGGATTAGCCCACAGCAAATCCATTAAGAGGGGCAGGCGGAGGTAGCTGGTGGGGGAAGGGGAGTCACAGTGGTCTGGGGTGGGTTGATGGTGCCCAAGTGGGCAGAGGAGGAGGGTCCATGCACTGGGTGGCCTAGCAGGAGGAGGTAGAGGACAAGAAGTGGGTGAGCTCTCATGCAGAGCAGTGGCCTTGTGAAATGTCTGAGGCTGCCAGGTGTGAAGAAGAGACGCATGCTGGGACATGGTAGAGTGACGAGGGCTTCCAGGTAACAGAGCACCACTCACAGCAATCAGTGTGGATGTGAGACACCTGCATGACACAGGTGGCAGTGGAGCAGCAAGGGGAGGCTTGCCTACATGATGATCAATCCAGGATATGGATTCAGGATCCTGGGTGGAGCTGGGAGAAGGGAAAACACTCGGACGCACTCTGTGGTGTTGTGCTGGAATTGAAGGTAATGGGGAGACCAGTGTTCAGAACATAGATAAATATGTCTTCAAGCTCTTTGTTCCGAACACATACTCCTTCACAGATGTAGCTAATTCACTAAAAGTACAGCAGAAACTGTTGTTGCTCTTAATGTTGTTGAGTGCCCTCAAGTAGTGTGCGACTCATGGCGACTCTATGCACAACAGAACAAGACCCTGTCCGGTCCTGCACCATCCTCCTCACAAATGCTACTATGTTTGAGTCCACTGTTACTACCACTGGGTCAGTCCATCTCACTGGGAGGCTTCGTCTTTTCCACTGACCTGCCACTTCAACAAGCATGACGTCCTTCTCCAGGGACTGGTACCTCCTGATAACATGTCCAAAGTACCAGAGATGAAGTCTTGGCACTGTTGTCACTAAGAAGCAATCCAGCCACATGTCTTCTGCAACAGAAGATGTTTTCCATGGTGGATTCCAAATTCTTTGCCAACACCAGAATCAGATGCATCGATTCTGCTCCATTCTTCCTTATTTACTGTGCAGCGTTCACATTCACAGTCTTTATATTCTTTCTTTCTATGCATATAGTCAGTTGCCTCCTATGCAAACTGGTGTGGTTATGTGCCAGCAAGTTGGTTCTAACTCATATGGACCCTGTAGAGGGTTTCTGAGGTTGTAAATCTTCAGGGGAGCAGAACCCCTGTTCTACCTGTGTGGAGTGACTGGCGGGCTAGAATGACCTTGTAGGTCCCAGTCCAGATGCAAACCATAGAAGAGGGAACTTTTAATCATGCATATGAAACAGTATGACAGATATCAAAGGTCACTTCTGAGGATAACTTTGGGTGGGAGATAAGATATGGCCAAACAAGAATCAATATTAGCTATCAATTTAGAAACAAATGCCCTTAAGTAACGTATGTATAGATACTTGAGTCCTGGTGTGGCACTACAGGACAGACACTCAACTGTAAGGTTGATATGAACCACAAGGTTGACAGTTCAGGCTCACCAGCCTTTCCTCGGAAACCCTAGACAGGATCACTATGAGTGGGAACCGACTCGACAGCACTCCACAACAACCAAAGATACATGCCACCCCTATTTGAGCCCCAAGTATCTCAACTGAGGATATCTGTACAAATACAGAGAAGTTCTACCCAGCCCCCACCCCACAAATGCAAATCAGGTGTTTTAAGGGTATGCATACTACATACCTCGCTCTTTTAAGTTATGAGAACATATCCTGAAAACTTCAGCTACACCTTCCCTCAAGAATAAGGACATTTGTCTACTTTTACGTTATTTCATTAAATACTAACGTATTAGTGTGTGCTGTGAATATTGAGCTTTCTAATTCTAGTAGACACCATTTAGCTCATATTTAAATCTATCTTCTCATTTGGGATTCTCAACGATTTAAAAAAATCATGTATATACAACGCAAGCACATGTATATGCACACATAGCCACACAGATCATGTTTGTTTTTGTTTAATATTAAGGTGAGAAGAGAAGAAGCTATCTTTTTCCTTGTTGTTTTATATGATTTCCCACTGTCTACTTTTATGTTTTTAGATGTCAGCATAATCCTCTAAAACCTGACTTAATGACCTAAAAATCATAGTTTCTAATGTGAAAAAAGAAGGTACCAAACCACTACTGAAGATATGCTTTATTTTAATTTCCAACACCAAAACAAGCTGCTAGTCAAAACAGAGCAGATAAATAAACAGCCGCTCTCTGTTGCCATCCACCGCTAATAGTTAGTACTTTGTACCAAACCAGTGGTTGATTTTGGCTATGCTGAGGTAGAGGACCAGACTGACAATGAAGTACTCCTCGGTCTTTTCAATCCACACCAAGTCCATGTGCACTCTGCCTTCTGCGTCCACGTAGTCGATGCAGTATCTCTGCCCCAGGAAGAGGCAGGTGCCACAAGGACTGGTGGAGCGGCTCATACACACGGGGGAACTGAGACACCAGAAGGGCTTCCCGGAGTCATCCAGCAGAGTCACGTCCATGATAGAGCAGCTCTATGAGACAGGCAAGGGTGCGCAAGGTGAGGGCAGGGGACTGGGAGACTCTGTTTTCACACACTACTGAGAGAGACCGGAAGTGCTGCATGTGTGGCCACTGTCCATCCAGGGCTGCTCTGAGGGGCACTCTGTGGTCGGTTTCACATTCTAGATTGTAACTAGAGTGCAGAGTGTCTCCTCACACAACGTCCACGCCCAC